CAGGCCTCGGCTGCTGTAAACATCCGTCTGTGGAAGAGCTCTCCCTCCCCATCACTCTCCATCACATCGTCCTGCATTTCCGTCATAGTGCTTGTTCCAACATGGAGCCATTAATTCATCTGGTCATTGTCTTCTCCCCAACTAGAGTGTCAGCTCCAGCAAGGCGAGGACCTTTGAGAGTAGACACTTAACAAATTGATGTTGAATGAATGAATCCAAAATATGGTACTTAAATGCAAGTACCCTTCCAAGACCCTTCTGGAACCATTCTTATTGCAAATTGATGAATCCAACCCACAGCCTTATTCTCCACGGCCACTTGAAGAAATACCCATCATTGGTGGTGTAGATGGGGGGGGGGAGGGGGGACAGGGGAATCCTCCACTAAACACCAACCGGAGAAGGGCTGTGGCCCAAACATGTCTGCACGGGCTCTCTCTCATAGAACTAAAACAAGGGGGTCCTCTGGCCAACGTCTCAGAACTTGGGAATTTTCTAGAGCTGTTGTGAGCTAGATGCTCTGAAATCCCTGAATATCTTATCGATATTTTATGGAGTTGAGAGTGTCTCCACTTGTCAAAATAATAATGAACATGACCATTATATATTGAATTCCTGCACCAGGCATGTTCCCTGTCTTAGCTCAGGCTGCCAAAATGAAATACCACAGGCTGGATGGCTTAAATAAGACACATGTATTTCTCACAGTTCTGGAGGCTGAGAAGTCCAAGATCAAGGTGCTAGGGGATTCAGTTCCTGGTGAGACCCACTTCCTGGCTGGCAAACGGCCACTTTCTCTCTGTGCCCTCACATAGCAGAGGACAAAGAGAAGCAAGGTTTCTCGTGTCTTTTCTCTTCCTCTGTGTGTGTGTGTGTGTGTGTGTGTGTGTGTTTATTTTTGAGAGAGAGAGACAAAGCATGAAGTGGGGAGGGGCAGAGAGAGAAGGAGACATAGAATCCCAAGCAGGCTCCAGGCTCTGAGCTGTCAGCATGGAGCCCAAAATGGGGATCGAACTCACGAACCATGAGATCACGAACTGAGCCGAAGTTGGATGCTCAACTGACTGTGCCACCCAGGCACCCCACTGGTGTCTTGTCTTGTCTTTTCTCTTTTCTTTTTTTAACATTTATTTATTTTTGAAAGACAGAGATAGAGCGAGAGCATGGAGGGAGAGAGAGAGACACAGAATCTGAAACAGATTCCAGGCCCTGAGCTGTCAGCACAGAGCTTGACACGGGGCTCAAACTCATGAACCACGAGACCATGACCTGAGCCGCAGTTGGACGCTCAACTGACCGAGCCACCCAGGCGCCCAACTGGTGTCTTTTCTTAAAAGGGCACTAATTTCATCGTGGTGTCCCCACCACATAATTATGTCCCACAGGCCCCACCTTCATGTACCATCACATAGGGGGTTAGGATTTCAACATATGAATGGGGGAGAGGAGACACAAACATGTAGCCCATAACACTCCCTACATCAACTATAATCTCTACAGAGCTACCACAAAGTGAGTGGTTAATCTCATTTAATAAGACTCTGAGGTACAGTGGGTGATGGAGGAGACTCACTCAACACTCAAGGTCACACAGTGAAACCAAAGGTCAATATCCCCCTTCCATAGTAAGCTGCTCCTCAGACCTGCTAGCTAACCCCTATCACACAGAGATCATACAACAGACCCCGGAGTCTGGTCAGCCTGGCCGCTAAGTAACAGAATTTGTTGCTGAAAAAAAAAAAACTGAGGAAAGTGATATCCCGGATCTAATAGAACCCTTTGCCCTCACCACCACATTATGGATTTGCTCACTTCTTTTTCTTGGTCCCACAAAGATTTGTCGAGTATGTACTCTGTGCCCCAGAATACAGCAGTGACCAAGACAGCTTGGCCGGCCCGTGATGGGACCGACACCCAGTAGGGGGCAGACGATGAAGAGACAAGTTAAGAATACCATACGGGGTTCCGTATCATAATGGAAATGCACAGAGTCGGGAGTGCAGAGCAAGGAGGAGGGAGAGGTCTCCCGCACGAGAGCGGTCAGGAGGGCCTCTCAGAACAGGTGACAGGGCAGAGACTCCTAGAGGGACAGAGCCTGGTGACACTCAGCACGACCGCCCCTGAATTTCAGAATCGCACCACACTCAGCACGACCGCCCCTGAATTTCAGAATCGCACCTGTGAAGCCCAAGACACTTTGCTCAGAAGTGGACTCCAGGTGGCCCCCATAGCACAAGGTCCGACGGAGCCCCAGGATGTGCCGTTTCTGTGCCCACAACACCCCCATCTCCATCTTCCCCACTACTGTCACCCCCCAGCCCGACACCTCCCCTTCGTTTCTTTATTTACATCTGAGGAGTTTTTAATGGGAGAAAAGGCCCAGAATGGGGTTGTTTGAGGACAAGGAAATGAGCCACTTGCTGTGATGAATGTTCTTGAAAAGCAATTTCTTTTTTCACAGGTAGCTCGCTGGGCTTGGGCACAAAAGTGCTTTGGCTGCCTATCAAGTACTAACAGAGGCTAACTGTTTTCTGGGCACTTCTCTTTCCCCGCACACGCTCACTTGCGCCTCTCCCTATGCATGACAGAAATGACATCAAGTTCAAGGGCTCCCGGGGTTCTCCTCCCACGGTAAAGTGGCAGCTGATCTCACGGCGCTGGAGGACCCTCTCCCTGCCCCCCACCCTCTCCCCCTCCTCCTCTCGTTTGTTCCCAAGCATCGACCTTGCACCACAAGACATCGTCTGTGGCCGGATGGGAGGCGAAGGAGGGGGTCCCCGGGGAATCAGAGATCAGATGGGAATCCTGAGAAGGCCCATGGCACCCGCAGCAGCAAGGAGCCCACCTGCGCCCTTCCCGCTGGTTAACAAGAGGGGAAATAACCCCGCACCTTTGCCCCTTGGCTCCAACCACACCCCCATCAAAGCTGCCATATTCACATCGCGAGGCGGCATTTTCCAGGTGTTCTCAGTTTACTGGTGCACAATCTTCCCCCCCGCCCCACCAAAGGATGGACTCTCAGGCATCATAGTACATCTGCTGGGAGCACGACACTCAGATGAAGATGACAGAGAGGCCACTGATACTCCTAACGCACTGGAACCCTATTTTGTGAAATGAGGGCCGTGCCTGGCTATCTGGGAGAGCATGTTAAGTCCTTGGGAAATATGACAACTAAGGCGAAACTGGGGATTAGGTTTCCAGCTGGGCCCACGCACAGCACGGGTGAAAAATGACAGCGTCTGAAACTTACTGTTACAAGGGTCTGAGTTTTAGCAATAATTCCAGGAACCCAGAAGTCTCCCGCTCACGCACATCCTGTAAGGAAGACCGGACCGACCCTGCCTCCCTCTCCTGCTCCTCCTGGAGCTGACTCTGGCCTTTAGGTTTGCCAAAGGGACAGTTGTCAGAAGTATGAGGCCGGCTGGGGGTGACTCAGCCTGGACAGGCAAGCAGACGTCACTGTCTGGTCGCACTTCTGATGTGTCTGGGAACGTGACTTCACTTCCACGGCAGAGTGCTGGGATTGGGGATTTGGGTTTGTTCCCCTGCAGGCGGAGTGGATTTTCTCATCTCCGTCATTAGGGAAGAGAGGCCTTTATCCCCTATAAAGAGATCTTGAGGCAAGCAGGAGGTGGGTAGGCTTCCCTTTGCCCTCTTTGCCAGCCCCGATTCTGGAGCTTAGACGGGACTGGAGACTGAGGCCTTCACATCCGACCTCTGACAGTGGCCACAGAGGCAGGACACGGAAGGGTCAGGCCTGCTTCTCCCCCTTCCTTGTGGGACTGGGGTAGCCAGCCTCTGCAGAGCTCGGCCTCCTGGTGCTTACTGACGTGCAGCGTCCCTCCCTGCCGAGGTGGGCTGGCCAGGCGACTAGCTGTTAGCTAGTAGAATAGGACAGAAGCAATGCTTGTATTTCTGAGGCCAAGTCATACAAAGCCTTGCAGGTGTGTCAGGGACACACGGGTCAGCCATCTGGAAGTAACCAGGCTCCACGTGAGAAATCTGACCACCCCAGGATGGCCATGCTGGGAAGAAGTCTACATAGCAAGGCCGTGTGGAAAGACAGCTGTCCAGCCGGTCCCCACCCTCTCAGCCACCCAGCTGGGGCACAGACACACCCTGTTGGGCAATCTGACCAACTGAGCCTCAGGCCTCCAGCTCTGGCCGCCATCTAACTGCAGCCATGAGACAGACCCCAGTCAACCCCAATCACCTAACTGAGCCCATGCAGGAAGGCGGTGGCCAGAGGCCCGAGGGGAAGGGAAACTTCTCTTCCAAAGCCAAGCCAAGTGCACCCTGGCTTTCCCTGCAGACCTCGTCCGGCACAGTGACCAGCAAGGGCCCCTCCCCCACTTGGGTCATCCTGGCTGACGCTAGTGTCTGTTAGTCCCTCAGGGACAGCGGTCCCCCAAGAGCCATGGCCCTCCCCAAGGAGACAGCATGTACTGCATAGATCTTGTTCCCTTTTCATCCTTATTGCCAAATCCCCCCAGACTCCGTCTGCTCCTCTCCTTCTCAGGGAGAGTGAGGACTCGCCTAATAAGCACTTGACTAGTCACTGAAGCCAAGGTTCGTTCCAACGGCTTTGACTTTCAACCTCCTCACGTCTTCTCGAAAAGATGAACCGCGCTTTTGTACCACGGCACATGCCAGGAATAGCTCACATAGACTGCCCGCGGGAGAGGGTTCATGAGGAAGAGGCGGCAGATAAGCCAGACATCTGAAAAGTGCCATTAAAATGATGGTGCCTCGGGCACGCCGTTGAGCCTTATTACTCATCCTGTCTGCGGGGAGGTCTCGATGTGAGGGTGTCCTGTGATCCTTTGGCCAGGACGTGTGCCCTGGGACCACACTCGCATCCTTGAGAAGGGAGGTTGCAGAGCGGGACCCAGGAGGCTCTGGCTGTGGAGGGCTCAGTGCATCCCTGGCTCCCTCCAGGCCACCATGGCCACGCCACAGCCAGCCACCATCACATTCCCCCAAACCAGCAGATTCTGGTGCTCACTTCGGTAGCACGTATACTTAAACTGGACCATTACAGAGAAGATGATCGTGGCCCCTGCTCAGGGATGATGTGCAAACCTGCGACTTCTCCCAACGGTCTGCAGCTTCCCATCATGGGAAAAAATCCCCATGACAAAGCCAGATTTCCGACCAACTCTGCGCTGTCTGCACACACGACACAAACAAGAACAGCCAGTTTCCCAGTTGCTGTAATGACCAAGGGCTGTGTCAGGTGCTGGACATCACCTGCCAAGCAATGTTGGACATCTCGCTCACCCAGGGGCTCAGAGAAGTTAGGACACTTGTTCCTCTGTAAGTGACAGCAGAGCTAGGACTGTAAACCATGTCTGTCTGGTCCCAAAGCTCACCGTGCTCTTTCCATTAGCAACACTGCTTGTGTGATGGAGGGGGTGAGCCTTCACTGTGACAGAAACAAGAGGCTGGATTCAAGGTCTGGGAGGACCTGGGTCAGTCTGAACCAAAAATCAGGGGGCAGCCCCCTCTCCCTCACAACCTGCATTCCCTGGGTGGCCTTCAGGCGGGAGCAGGGCCCAGGCAAGATGTGGAGGACGCGGAGCCTGGATGGTCCTCGAGGAGACTCCAGCGCCCCCTTCAGGGACCAGTGCCACGGAGGGAATTAGGAGCTCAGGCCTTGCTAGGTGATAGGACCATCACTTTAAGACTTGGTAATCCTTAGAGAAAGCACATGAGATGGGTATTGCCTCACCCATTTCACAGATGGGGAATACAGGCTCAGCAAGGTCAGAGAACCCAAGAGATGTGCAGATTCCATGCCAGACCTGTTAACTCCAAGGACGGTGTTTTCGCACGGCTACCCCATGCTGCCTCCGCATGGAAACAGGCTGACTTTGACCCCAGAGGGACCCAACTTGCTGTTAACCATTGCTGGGTTATCAACCCCTTGAGGTACTGACCAAACAAAACCATGTGATATCTTCCTGGCACCTGAATCACCTTCAGGATAGTATGGGATCCCAGGGGTGAGATTAGATTATTAAAAAGAACAATTTTTAATTTCTCTCTGTATCCAGAAATGGGTTCCGCTGCTGTGCTTAAAAATCCTTTCTCCCTCTTTTAGTGCATTAAGCCTTTCCTGAAATATTGTAATTATCCATGTTTACACTATTGACTAGCTTTTTAAGGTCTTTCTGTGTAAATACAAGAAAGATAAAGTTCAGGTGAACTCCCGTCTGAATTATCCCAAGCCTGAAATGCTGCAGGGTCCATGTGAATGGGCTGGGACTGTACCTTGAGTCTCGAGAAGAGGAATACATTACCCTTGACCTTTCCAGAGGAGCTCAATGGCAAGCCTTGTCCACTGGGAAACCGCCTGATTGGACGAGGCTTTCCACGTCCCCCATGCTGGGTTTGGCCATGGGAAGCCCCAGCAGGAAATGGGAGGGAGGACCTGGAGATGAGGGTATTTCTTTCTCCAGACCTCTGTCCCCGAAGGTCCTCTAGGCTAACCGTGCTCTCCATACAGCCTCATTGACCCCTCCCCTCATTCCCGGCATCTGGGTGGTCAAGGCCCCTCCAAGCAGCTTCAGGTTACAGCACTAATCTTTGCGGTTTCCCTACACCTTGCCCGGAGCCCCTCCAAGGTCTCTGTTAGACTCTCTTTACATAGTGTTGGTCATCAGCTCCCGACCCAGGCCATTGTTTGCCAAGGAGCACTGGTAACAGGAACAAGAACTGCCGTCTCCAAAGGGGCTTCTGTGGGCAGTCATTTTACCCACGTGCCACTGCCGCCTTCCTACGGCAACCCGTAGAGGATGGTGTCCCACTTTGCAGATGAGGGAACCAAGGTGGCAGATGTTAAGTGACTTATCTGATGTGCTGGCTGGTAAATGAGGAAGCAGAATTAGAGACGGGCATGTCCTTCTCAGAAGCTCGCACTCTTTCCACTGAGCCACACTGCCTCCTAGTGGATCCACAGTCACCGGTGATACCCTCACAGGCTCCAGTAATGGCGGCCACCCCTGTTGTCAACTGTCCTTGTCCCAGCCCTAAAGTGACCCTCCTCCAAGCACTCCTTCAACTCAAGACACCTGACCACCTGGGTCTTTCCCCAAGACCAGGGCCACCTTTGTCCCTCGTCAGGGCCACAGCTGGAGCTCAGCACCCGACAGAGAAGCATGACATTTTAAGCCCAACCATGTCAGCCTCTTCCTCACTGGGGTTTCTGTGTCCCCCTCACATTTGACCTTCTCGTTCATGTTTTCCTCTCCTCATGAAGCTCATACTTCTCTTTTCCCCCCACCCTGCACTTCTCCATTTCACAAAATTGTTCACAAGTTTCTGATAAACAAAGAAAGAAACATAACTACCTACTTTATAGAGAATTAATAAAGAATATCAACAGAAATAAAAATAATCCGCATAGGGGCACCTGGGTGGTTCTGTTGGGTTAGCATCCAACTTCAGCTCAGGTCATGATCTCGAGGTCCATGAGTTCGAGCCCCACGTCAGGCTCTGTGCTGACAGCTCAGAGCCTGGAGCCTGCTTCAGATTCTGTGTTTCCCTCTCTCTCTGCCCCTCCACCACTCACACATACACACCCACACTCTCTCTCTCTCTGTCTCTCAAGAATAGACTTTAAATTTTTTTTTAAAAAGTAATCCGCACAAAGTACATCAACATAATCAGCACTTGAAGAATAAAGTATATAATTGACTAACAACTAACGAAAGAATTAAACCTTCCTTATGATGTTTGGATCTGCATTATTTCCAAGAGAAATTGGATTTGGTAGAAAAAATGGCTGAACACACACACACACACACACACACACACACGCATACACACACATGTACACACACACACCAGCAGAAATAAAATTATAAATGGACAAAAAGCTGATCTGTGAATTAGTTGTAAAGTCTAGTAATAAAAACCAAACAGAAAATAACTTATGCGATGAGTATAATCTCAGGACGCCTGGGTGGCTCAGTCAGTTAGCTGTCCAACTCTTGATTTCAACTCAACTTACGATCCCAGGGTTGTGAAATCGAGCCCCATGTTGGGCTCTGTGCTGGGAATGGAAACTGATTAAGATCCTCTTTCTCTCCCTCTGCCCTCCCCACCGCTCACCCTCTCTCTTTACAAAAATAAATAAATAACCCTAAAAATAATCTCAAGAAAATAACAAAGAAAAAATAACAGAAATGGTAATTATACTATATAGAAACTTAGAATTAAATTGACATGGTATTTGGTCTGAAAAAGAGTTTCACAATGAGATTTCATCAGTGTTTTGCATAATCCTATTAAAATGTAAATATTCAAATGGTTTTGCGGTCAAAATATCCTCAGTATTGAAGTGGTAGCATCAAAACATCAGAGCCAAAAGGCTGTGGACCTAACACCCATCTCTCCCCCAAAGGCCCAGGCACCCTGTACTGCCTCAGCTTCAGACTGAATCTACCCCAGCCCATTTGCTGCCTCCCAGCCCGTTCCCCATCCACACCCTGCCCAGTGTCTGGTCTCCAAACTCATTTCCCCTTCACAGCCTCCTCTCCTCCTCTGCCTCCTCATATCTCACTGGTCCTCTCTGATTATGCTTGGAGCACTCTCTCGGCCTCTTACCACCACCTGCCCAGGCCCACGGAAGTCCCAGGGACCTCTAAGAGATGTTAGTCCAGAAGCACAGTTCCTGCCAACTTCACCCCAGCCTGGCCACTTGTCACTGCCCCCAGAAAGCCTCCTGGATGTCACGCAAACAAAATCCCCAGACACCCATCCTGGGCACCAGAGCCGCAATGAGAGGGCCATGAAGACTCTTTGAGAACATTGGCAAAAACAAGGCTACATGTCTTGAGTAACTACCATACATTATGTTAGACATTCTTAAGCACATTACGTGTTATTTGAGAGAGAGAGACAGAGCACGAGCAGGGGAGGGGCAGAGAGAGAAAGAGACACAGAACTGGAAGCAGGCTCCAGGCTCTCAGCTGTCAGCACAGAGCCCAACATGGGGCTGGATTCCACAACGCTGGGATCATGACCTGCGCCCAAGTCAGACTCTCAACCGACTGAGCCACCCAGGCGCCCCACATGTGTTACTTCTAAGCCTTAAATAAATCTTGGAGGGCAGATATTAACCCCCTTTTTCAGAGAGATAATTGGGGCTCAGAAAGATTGGGCAGCTTGCCTGCGACCACCCAGTTGTTAAAAGGTGGAAGTGAAACTTGAACACTTACCTGACTGGATTCTGAAGCCCATTATGATCTTCACTCTAGTGATGGCTGACTCCTGCCAAGAGCAGAGTGGAGACACAGAAAGGAAACGCCTGCAAGAAGGCTTCAGAGAGTTTCCAGGCAGTGAAGGGCTGTTGTGCCAAGACTGAGAGAAGAGGGGAGCCCAGAGTGGCGGCCCCACGGTGGATTCAGTCTCATGCAGGAGCTGCTGAAGATGCTAAGAGCATGTGTGGGAGGCAGGGCTAGGCTTCACGGGGGTCTGGGACAGATATTGGAATTCCGGGCCCACTAAGGATGTCCTGGTAAACATCCCAGACTGTCAGGTGAGACCCAAAGGGCCACAGCCTAAGGGTAAGAGTAACCAGATGTATTTCCCACTCTCAGAGTCTGAAGCCCAGCCTTTGATTGGATTAAGATGATCTGGGATCGAGGGCCCCCAGCCGCCACACCACATAGAAATCTTTTCAAAAAAATTATAACATCATCCAAGATGAATCAGCTCTAAAGATCTGCTCTACAACACTACCACATCTCAACAATGACATACTGTATGTTTAAAAATTTGTTGAGAAGGTAGTTCTGACTTTGTGTGTTCTAACCACAATATCATAATATTTTTTAAAAATTGCAACATCGTCCAGTCTCAAATTAACACTATTTAAAATACAATGTCTGGCATGGAATAAAAAATGAAGAGGGCTGGGGGCGCCTGGGTGGCTCAGTGGGTTAAGCGTCCAACTTCAGCCCAGGTCACAATCCTGTGCTTCGTGGGTTTGAGCCCCACGTCAGGCTCTGTGCTGACAGCTCAGATCCTAGATCCTGCTTCAGATTCTGTGTCTCCCTCTCTCTCTGCCTCTCTCCTGCTTGTGCCCTGTCTCTCTGT